GACGGTCATTGAGAAACATTTTAAAACAAATACAGTTTATTCCTAAACATGTAGAATATAGTCAGGCAACAGAGACTTTTGAAGAACAAATCTTGTTAAATGGATCTAATCTTTAGGACAAGCAGCCTAGTGCCATAGGCACCAACTCCTGTTGCTGCTGGTGACGTGATGTCTTCGGGAGGCATGCAGGAGGTGCCTTACTTTTTCCTTCTGTTATGGAAACTTCATGCCCATAAACCACTTCATGTCTGCAGAAATCCATCCCTTTCTGTAGGTGCTGGATTTACTGGGCAAGTGCTTCAAAGATCCTGGATACTGGTGAATCCCTCCCTACCCTCTGACCATGTCTGGTCAGCTGGAGCCCTGCTTCTGTGCTGTTGGGACAAGGTAATTTACTGCCTACATAGGTAAGGCAGATACCTGGCAGTTGGGTATGGGCTACAAGCACTAACTTGGAGGATACAGTCCATAAGATATGTACGTTGGGCATCCCTGACCTAGCTGGTATATAGTAAGCATCAGATGTGAGTAAGGCTTTTTAAAAGCTCTTGATGTAGTCCCGTGTGATGTTGTTATGTGCTGAACTAATAAAAAAGAGGCCAGGCTAAAATCACTCTGCAGTCTGGCAGGTGTGCAAGTGGTTGAAATACCACTTGTCCAGAGTAATTACCAGTGATTCATTGTCAAACTAGGGGAATGTTGTAAGTGAGGTCCCACAAGGGTCTGTCTGGGGTCAGTTTTACTCAATGCTTCCATTAATGACTTGGATGAGAGTAATGATTTATACAGAGAGTAAAATTTGTGGATGACATCAAGATGGAAGGGTTTGTGAACGCTTTGGCGAACAGGATTAGAATTTAAAATAATCCTGCTTCACTGGTGAAATGCTCTGAAATCAATAAGATCGAATTCAATAGAGAATGCAAAAGACTCCTCTTAGAGGGGAGAAGTCAAATGCAGAGGTGCGAAGTGGAGAACAGCTGGCTAGGCAGTGGTACTGGAGGCAAGGCTCTGGGTTCTACGGTCAATCATGAACCCAGGATTAGTTAATAGTATAATGCTGCTGAAAAAAACATTTGCCCCTGCAATGACTTTACTGCCCCATAAGCTGAACAAATGTAATTCTGGTGAATAAAAGGATAATCACTCTGTGCTACTCAGCACTAATTACTGGGGTTGTGCACTCAGTTTGGAATACTCTAAGAACAAAATAAAGCAAGAATGACTAGAGGGGAGGAAAAGGAGTGATGAAATTTATTTAATTTAGAAAAAAGGGAAACTGAGTGATGACCTGGTAGCATTCTTTACCCGGGTAAAAGACTTGCAGAGAAACTCAAGTCTTCTTGTCTTGATGAGTAAGATGAGAATTAATTTGCAGCAAGAGAAATATATGTTAGATCATCATTTTCCCAGCATATCTCAGCATTTGAAGAGATTTCTTAAAGCATTCCCATTGTGGAAGTTTTAGAAGAATAAGACAGACAAACTCCTTTCAGGAATATGCTACATAGTGTTGATTCTTTCTCACAGGAGGTAGGACCTTTGTGTTTCGTCCAACCTTATGTATCCATTATTTTTGTCTAGCAGCTTAAATTACAAGAGATAGCAAAATTCTTAACAATCTAACTCCGCAATTCAGTATGTAGTTGATACCAATCAAGTAATTCCGAGCTCTTGCAAAATAGTGGTGCACAGAGCCAAAAAACTAATATAATATTTTGTTACGGCACAGTTTGTTCTACTAAGGGTCTCAGTCCTAAGAATCTTCACAAATGTCTTTGTACAATTACATTACCTTTACTCAGGCAAAAAAAAAAAAAAAAAAAAAAAAAAAGATACTCAGGTCTGTATAAAATTGAAGGATTGGGCTTCTTTATATATTACCGGTGTGCACAGTGTGAAAACATTTATCAACCTGGTGATCTATGTCACTGGCATTTTTCCACTGGTATTTGTGGACTGAGTCCATCTAAAACTTCATCTTGATCCAATTCCATGTGTGAAAATAAGTACTATGAACACTTGCTTTTGCACTTGTGCAATTCGTGCCAGCTGCTGCCGTGCGGAACGTGCTGACTGCAGGTGAGAAGGGCGGCCAGGTGGGCAGCTCACCCTGGCCTGCACAGCTCTGCTGGGTACAGAATTCCCTCAGGTTGCAGCAGCTGAGGATCTGGCCTGCAGCCTCTCTGGAGTACTGTTTTGCAGCTCTGATAATAGCATCACGAAAGGATGCAATTTATTTTTGGCATGTAGACTCTGTTCTAGCATTTTGCCTCCTTCTCTTCTATTACCAGAATCCTTGACTTTAGAAGAAATGCTATAAAATCAAGCAGGCTGCAACGAGATGCTGCTTATTCATTCACAAGTTGGTTTCTTCTTTTTCTATTACCAGCTGTTTGGTTTTGGAGACCAGGTGAGTGTACCAAGATACATTTAAGGTCTCTGGGGACCTCTGCAGAGATTTGAGATTTCCAATCAGCTATGCAGAGTATTGGGCTAGAGACAAGTCCAGAGGATCTGCACTGTCAGGTCAGTATGAAGCCTTGTTCTTACCCGAAGTTTAATTTTTACCCTATCTTCTATCCTGAGGAAGTTTCAGATGGGGAAGAGCTGAGAAGCTTGCCTGAGGGTAAGTACAGGGAATGAGAAAGGCTTTAATTTAGGGGCAGAAACTGAGAGCTGCAAAATCAATTCTCCTTTGAGGTAGTCTGAGCCATGGCTAGGTATCTGACAAAGGGTCATTCTAGGGTTAGGGTTGGGGGTTTACGTTCTGGGTTCACGTAGAGAAAAGCACAGAGCTACCTACTGCTGTGGGGGGAGCTAGGCAGGGGCTGTGACAGTTGGGGTTAGAGTTTGGGTTAGGGTAAGAGAAGCAGAGTGATAGTTGAGATGGGACTGCCAGACAGCTACCAAAGGAAGCTGAGGGCTGCAAAAAGAGTTCTCGGCTGAGGAGTTTATTGTCTGGGACACAGCTAATCCTAACCCTAGAGTGCTCTGGCCCTCAGGAGAGGCTGCATAGCAGAACCCGGCTTCTCAGGACAAAGCTGGCTGGGAAGAAGTAGTAACGTGAGGGTGGCTGGAAAGAGCCCAGAACTCAGGCTTTAGTTTCTCCTATCCTCATGGAGTGGGAATTGGAGTAAGGTGGCTACAGAAGCCCTGCGAAAGAGGAACAACTAGTCCCTTCTGAGCAGAAGCCTGCAGATAGCTCCACAGTTTTCTCAAAATCCTGCAGAAACCTGGGTTCTACCCTGCACCCTTTCTCTAACCCTGGCAACAGAGGCTGGCAGAGAGAGGTGTGCAGCCATGAACGAAAAGAACAGACAAAGTGCTGGCCCCTTTGGAGCCCAGATCTCATCTTGGCTTCCTCTTCTTATGCCTCTTCTCACATCTTCACAGCAAATCTCCACCCCAAACCATTCTGCAGCCTGGGGGTGGTATCTTGTGGCTACCTTCAACCCCGCCTCTGCCTCTTCAGTCTTCTGCTTCCCTTCCTTCATCCTGATCTTCTTGCTTACTGTAGTCTTGCAAGTCAAGTCTGGCTAAGTGCAGGTGGTAAGTGCTGCTGTAGATCTACTTACCCAATCTTCTGACCAGCCCTTATGTCCATTACAACCATATAATACTTAAAATAAAAGTCATCTGAACTTCGACTCTGAAACTGTAAAAGAAACAAAACAGCAGTAAGACGTTGGAGTCTAGCATCAACATCTATTTGGCTTTGGAGAGCAGTTGGCTCAGTGACTGAACAAAGTGGATTTAATTTTACGAAGAGATTGCTTTTGATGGAGGCATGGAACTGTTCACCAGGGGAAAGACTGGATAGTTATATCTGCTCGGATCCGTGGTTAGAGTATTCCCCATCCAATGCTAGTGCCAGCTGTGCAGTACAGGTAGGTAGTGGAAAGAAGGCTCTATTTTCTCTAACAAATTGCATTAAGATTACAACAGAACGGGGTGAATGGCAAAAGGATACATTCACTATCTCACAAAGTTAAGGTCAGCTGAAGTGCACAGCATTTTATATTTCCTCTTGCGAAAACAGAGACAGAAACAGAAAAATGGAGCTCCAGGGGCTAAGTATCATTCATGCCTGGTAGCAGAAGGAACAAGAATGGAGGTTAACACCTAATCACACAGGAGCTGGTTAGTGTTACTACCCCAGTGAATATCTCCCCCTGGACTCTACTGCTTTGGCTGAGGGCAGCGATCCCAGCCTCTCCTGGTTTATGCTGTGTGACACCGAGTGCACACGTACTTGGCTACAGAAGAGAACCAGTCATCTCAAAGAGATCATCTCAAATTGTAACTTTTTCATTGATAATACTGTTGACTTTAGTCATAACACTCAGACGAGTAGAGACTCCATCATCTGGATGTACATGGAAAAAAAGTAATAGGATTGCTTCACTTCCCTGATTTATGGAGGAAACGGGAAAGCCCTGATTTATTAAAACAAAATAAGTATTTCTCCACAATAAAGAACCATAGAACTTCACTTAGCCAAGCATTTCTCAAGCTACAAGAAGATAAAGAAGTAGCAAGAGACTATGAATCAAATAAATTATTTTTTTTTTATCTCTTCTGTAGCTGTATCTGTGCATTCCATCTGCAAGACTCTCTTTCCTGTTCAGCTATTAAGTTTGCAGAACAGAAACATTTGAAAAGCTGACTAAATTGAAGAATGTTAGATTTCTGTTTAAAAAATGCCTATAATATCCCTATTTTTTGAATTACCCAGCAACTAATTCAAATACTTGGTATACAGTGCATTTATTTTGTTGAACGCTGTATCAGTCCAGTGACAAATTATGGTGAATATCATTCTTTTTCTTTCATTCTGTGGTGAAGAATTTTCCCCAAAGGCAGATTTTGCTCAGATTATAATTTAGGGCAGAAAGTTGTGTAACATTCAACTGGCCAGTCATGGACTACTTTTCTGAGAATTGAACAGAAGTTATAAAGTACAAAATAAAGTCAAATAGTAATTACACTTTAAGGAATTAGCAACAACAAATCAAATAGGATATTTAATAGCAGGGGAGCAGGATGAGTAGCAAATGCACAAAATAGTTCTTCCTTGATAACAGCACTTTAACCTTTTCATATCTTCTGGCAGGCAGAGAGAAGATCTAAGATTGATATGAGAAGAGAGGCCCCTCTTCTCACACCCTCCCCTTTGTATTTTTTACAGGTCAGCCTATCTAATTCCATTCCCTTTTTTTCTTTTCCTTTCAAACAATATTTTTGTCTTCAGTGAAATCACACCTGAAATTTTGGACTTCCACTATCACCCAGTGAACCCCCCTCAAAATGCTGCACCTTGAAGCTCTTCATTTACTGCCAACTCTCAATTCTCCTTTGCTAGATTACCCAGTTTTCCAAGGCCTATGTTCCAAGACCCCTCTATTCTTTCTTTGCTATTCTTGTGAAGTTCATTAGTGGACGAGTAGGGATAAATATACACAAGACTAGACTGCATCCAGAGCCAGCTTCTCTCTAGAATGTCAATCGCCAGCTTTATGCAGTGTTGGGGCCAAGTGAACAAACTTTGTTAGAATTGAGCTAAAGTGTTCACGCCTCGCACTGCTGACCACTGCGGGGCTCGGGGGCTCTGCTGGAGGCCTGTGCAAGGGTCCTCATCCTTGTTCTAGAGCTGAGCCAGCTGCATTCACCTGCCCTGCTATGAGAGCTAATATGCTACTGTGGAAAAAGGAGGAATGGGGGAGATGTTGCCTAGACAGCTGAGCTGGACCCGCTGCAGTGAAGGTTAGATTTGGAAGCATCAGTACTATCTCTAGTGTTATCAACCAACGACACAGGCGTTGGATTCTTCCATTTTCTGAAGTATCCTAACCCCTCAGTACCTGGGTGATGAAGAGCTGGCAGCATGTGCATAGATGTCAAAGGTTTACGTATAGCATCAGTAGTGTCTAGATCTAGTCTTACACTGCAGCATCGGTGCTGCTGAGATGATATCATCTGGGTGCTTGTACAGCAGTGAGATCACTTACAGGAAGATCTTTCCTGGGCTTGTCCTAGCACCTGTCCTGGTGACATAATGGTGTTAAAGGCAGGCCCCAAAATGCAATCAGCAAATAATGTCAACAAAAAACTTGGGAAATAGCAATAGTAGAAAGAAAAAACACATATATATGAAAAATTGTCCACCAACCTGTGCATATTTCTGAGACAATAAAAAATACATTTGATTTCATCCCTCAGGCGTTCACAGGACACTAAATTAGAACCGTAATTATTCAATGCATTGTGTACAGTGGAAAGAAGGAGAGAACCCCATTTAGTGGTAAGGGAGCAAGTAGCTGTGAGTAAACAGTGCTAACGGCCTTTCCAGCTGGATCAGAGTTCATTTTCCTAAACAGTTTTGGGACTGATTAAATAGATGAGTCTGCGCTCAATGGGGACTACTGCCCCTTGTGTGGAGAAGACACCATGGACACTTAACACCATGCAACAGGAGAAAGATCTCTTTGGATATCGACATAATTGTGTGTTTCCAACCTCCAGATATGTTCGTTCCCCAAGCCATTGGTTCAAACACGACTGGTAATGAGTTTTGTAGCAATGCCATGATATCTGGTGTATCGGCTAGAAAAGAGTGTCACCAATGACATATCTGCTCTTACCAGTCCCAGTGATGATATGAAAGTAAGACCAAGGCATTTTTGCTAATGTTTAAACCTGTTTGCTAAAACGTATAAAACAACCCCTGATATTTTCATGTCTCACAGAGACATAGTGCTTGACGTACCAGACCTGTGGTACACAGTTTTGCTTCTGCTGGGAGAACATTAGCACCACCAGCAGTGGCCTTATGTTATTTACAAAGCCCTGCTTATCTGCAAACTCCTGTATTATTCAGACACCCATGGCAGCCAGGGTCAGGTCCAGTGGCAGTGAGTTGGGGAGGACACACGTATTTCATAGCAGGAGTGTGGACGAGCTGCTGCTGGGCAGCCTCCCCGGTGCCTCAGCTGGGCTGCTCTGAAGGAGAGAGATTATACACAACAGGATGAGACTTCACAGTTTAACAGTTTAATAGTAAAGCAGATGGATTTTAAAGAATTGGGGTCTAATTGTCTGAAGTTGTGGTTCCAAGAGAAATCATGCAAGGCCATAGATACCTAGCAATGGGGAAGTGAAGTGCTGCAGCTGGATGATGAAAGGCACTCAAGTAGTACAACTCACCTGACTGCCTCAGATTTGTTCTAGAAATGTTGAAGGGATAACTTTGGTTGCACAGACTGTATGACAGATCAGGTATTCACTGTCCTCTTCGCACTGGTACTGGATGAGGAATAACTCAGAGACGCAGTATAAAGCGTCGTCAGTGTGAATCATGATTTGGGTGCTCCAGCTAAGCAGGCAGAAATGCAATTTCCTCCCTGATCCCGATCGGCTTTCTCTTCCCATGTGCTGTAGTGGCCCAGTATTAATAATATAGAACCAGAGCCTTACGGACAGTAAACAGGTTGAATAACCTTAACAAATGAGTACATAACAACCCACCAGAAATCTCAACAGAATTTGGGCACAGTAGTTTCAATACTCTGATGTGGTAAAATAAGGCTGTGACTGTTTGTGTCAGCTGATCAACTGACATAAATTATATGAATGATTTCAGCTTCATTTAGCCTTTTCACTGTTACTACTTCTAGAACTCCAGGGATAATTGTATTTCTAGAAAACAAGTAAACTTTTCCAATGTCTGACAAAGTGAGATCTCTTTTGAAAAGACAGTCCTTTTCAAAAGCAATCACAGCTCTAAACATGAGGTGGTGGCTCATAACTTTCTTACAAAAAGCCTTTTAAAATTGACTGGCAGATTCAGCCCCACCTTGTTCAATTATAAGAAAGCAAATGGGCTGCAAAGAAAACCTACTTAAAAAGTCTCCCAGCAGGCACTTTGGTTGCTACCCAGTGTGAGTTACAAATTGGGGAATATGAAAAGCAAAGAAATAACAGGCTTTAATAATGTTAGGCCTAAGCTAGTATTAGTCCGCTTCTCATTAGAATCGTATTAACACAAAGACAAAACCTTAGTACGGCTTACTTAAATAAGTTGAGCTACATGGGAACACAGACTTCAAAACATTTTTTAAGTCACATAGCTCTGTGATCTTTCTATAAAAAATATAACTATCAGCCTTCGGCACACTAACACAAGTAAGGTACTTTTTAAAGCATCAGAACTCAAATAGACTAACAAAACTGATTTAAAGACTGACCTGCTTAAATATGAAAGTTAATTCTTGAGTACAGGTAGACTGCATTTAACATTCATGCAAAGCATACCCTTCCTCACCCCCTCCAGCTCTTTTATAATTGAAAAAACACTGCTGACATAAATCATGAATAACCAAGAGTGACAGTCTTTGCAGATAAGGTAGACCTCACAGAAAGCTGTGAGAATCTTTTTCTTGTGCACACACAGTTTTTCCAGGGATTTGTCCAGTTTGTGCATTAACGCAATGCATCATTTTGGTCATGCTTGCTTGCTCCTAAACGCCGTCTTACCTAAATGAAGACAGTGCGCTACTGCTGCGTCTTTTGGAGGCCACAGGATTTGCCAGCGGGGCTGAGCCACGCTCTCTTTGCAGATGACTCTCCTCACCAGGACACCACTACCCCTGTGCTGGAGGTTTCCACCCGACAGCAAAGCCAGCAAAGGCGCTCCTCAGACTCACGCACGTGACAGCGTCTGCGTGCAGCTGGTTTGAAGCTGGACTGTGCTGACCTCGGTGGTTTTACACCAGAGCAGACTGTGAAGCGCTCACGTATTTGAGCGTGCCTGGTGATGAGCTGGATGGGACCCTCGTGCCAGTGGGTGGTTACATGTAGGGAGCCACAGTAGCATCTTCAGGTGACGAAGCTGGGGCCAGAAGAGTGCTGCTGTCGGTGCTCTCAGCCCAAGGTAGTGACACTGCCTATGCACTCACATACTGTGTAAAGATACATGCTTAAATCAATGCTGGTTTCTTGTTCTTCAGCTATCCAAGCCTTCCTATCAGCTATTACTTTAAACAACTGTAAGTGCAGTAAACAGCAGGCTAAAGGTTATTTGGGTTTGTACCACATTCATCAGAGTAACCACTTTTAAACTGTTTTGTTTACAGTAAAGCAGCAGCTATTATGTTGCCTTGTGGATTTAAGGCAGCAAAATCGAGCTCATGGGTTTTAGTGCTTTCAGTTACAGGCAGCAGTATCTGCTGGTTTGCTGTGTTGGCATTATTGGCATGAATATATATGATCATGTCACCTAAGGTACATGAGCACAACAGTATGGAGGTAAGTAACTTTAGCCCTGCACTCTGGGTTTATAATAGAGCAGCTCAGATAATGCCAGCAGAGAGATTAACTCCAGCTTGGATTCCACAAATTCTTCCTCCACGTGTCCTCCCTTCCTATCCCAAAACAGCTTCCTTGGTCAAGACTAGAGATGCTTTTGAATACTCTGGAGTGATTAATCCCACCAGATGTTGACTGTCTGACCCATTAGTCCAGCAAAGATTTTGGCAAAGGAGTGACATTTTAATGAAGAACAAAATGTAATTATCAACCACGAGATCTACTGAGATACTAGGAGAAATAACAAGACCATTAATCACTTAATTCACACAGAAGAATATTTAGAAACTCCCCCCAAATAATTTGATGGATCTTTTGTAGCCTATCCCCTTTTTCTGAAGTATGATATGTCTGTCTTTGAAGACTGGACTAGGTTTGCCATCCTGGATAAAAACCTCTGCCTCATGTCTTCCTAACATGCAAGTTTAGTATAGTATAGACCTCGACTTTGTATAGTCCTGGCACCTATGTAGGGGATATCTTTTCTAATGGGGATCTCTACAATATTATACTAACTGTATGATGATAATAAAAGCAATGAGATGGCCTGAAGCTTCATGGGGAACTATCTGACAAGGGAAAATTTTGGAATTAAAAAAACCCCACAGGTTAATTTCATGCTCAGAACTTCTCCACATGAGAGGATTTCCACTGAAATGAGATGCTTCTCTTTAACTGCTTCACATTATCTGCTCTGGAATAAGTAGAGATAAAGAAGCAGTGGACTTTTATCTTGCTGTAAGTAATTGTTTCGTTGTGGTGGTGTTTTCTTTCAAAGTACTCCCTCAGTGCTGCGAACTAGAATTTTGTGCTCCTTGGGGCTGATGACGACACAGTGCATCTGAGGATTGTGCCACTGGAATTAGCAGCATATTTTGTTGTTTGTCACTGTAAATCTGCATTTTCCATATCATCTCACATAAGTGTAAAAATACCATGATTTGTCTTTTGCCACAAGAGTTTATTGCTCTCTGACTGCAAATTTGTGGCTGAAGACAAAGTAGTGATTGATGTGGATAGATACAGGACATACTTCTGGGTACCCTGTTCCTGAGCAGCCAGAAGGAGGCAACAGTATCTCCTAGCTTATCTGCAGTGGAGTTTACCAAATCAAAGGCCTGGAAGGGACCTCAAAGTTCATCCAAACAATCCCCCCTGCCCCCAAGTTCAACTGTCCTATTTCTGTCTAGACTCAAGGCTTCTAGAGACCTACATTGGGGAAAACTCCATAGCAGCAGAGTAAGAAAGCAAAGAGTGAGAAGTGTCACTTATCTCTGAAAAACCTGGTATAACTCTTTCCAGGATCAGGGAACGCAAGAACAGAAGCACTGCTGTGGCTGATCAGGTCAAAGATCTGGCTATCTCAATACTGAGCATCTAAAATGTTGAAATAGGGCACATATGTTGAGAAAAGTCTTGTAAGGAATTTCTCCTCTGATGAAGACTCCATTCAGACTATCTTGCTTAATAACATCAATAGGTCTGTTTTGCATTAACCTTGTAATTCCTTTTTAAAACTGTTTACGCTTTTAACCTGCACAATATCCTGTGCCATTAAGGTTCATCATTCAATTCTGAATGGAAAAAACCCCTTAATTTTCTTTATTTGAAATTAGAGCCCTGAAGCTCTAAATATTGCATTGGGGAAAATACTGAAAGACTGTTCCCTGCTCACCTTTTACAAACCATTTAGAAGCTGAAATCTCCACAGTATTTAGTCTGCCATCATATGGTAGCCACTCCATGCATTTGTTGTTCTGACATATTTCTCCTCCCCTTCTGTGCTCTTTGTGAAAATGCGTGATCAGAAATGTCTTGTATTGGGTGTGCATGGCAAGGTTTTGGTAGCAGGGGAGGCTACCGGGGTGGCTCCTGTGAGAAGCTGCCAGAAGCTTCCCCAGTGCCCGACAGAGCCAACGCCAGCCGGCTCCAAGATGGACCCATTGCTGGCCAGGGCCGAGCCCATCAGCGATGGTGGCAGCGCCTCTGGGGTAACATATTTACGAAGGGAAAAAACCACCTGTGAAACAGCAGCTGAAGAGAGAATATGTGAGAGAAACAGCCCTACAGACAGCAAGGTCAGTGAAGAAGGAGGGGCAGGAGGTGCTCCAGGCACCGGAGCAGAGATTCCCCTGCAGCCTGTGAGGCAGGCTGTGCTCTGCAGCCCATGGAGGTCCACGGTGGAGCAGATACCCACCCATGGAAGGGCCCCATATGGGAGCAGATGGTGCCCCAAGGAGCTTGTGAACTCATGGGAAGCCTGTGCTGGAGCAGGCTCCTGGCAGGACCTGTGGCCCCATGGGGCACCCACGCAGGAGCAGTCTGTTCCTGAAGGACTGCACCCTGTGGGAGGGAGCCCACGCTGGAGCAGAAGTTCATGGAGAATTGCAGCCCATGGGAAGGACTCACATTGGAGAAGTTCATGGAGAGCTGTCTCCTGCGGGAAGGACCCCACTCTGGGGCAGGGGAAGAGTTTGAGGCCTCCTCCCCCTGAGGAGGGGTGGGAGGTAGGTGTTTTAAGATTTAGTTTTTATTTCTCATTATCTTACTCTGATTTGACTGGTAATAAATCAACCTAATTTTCCTCAAGTCAAGTCTCTTTTGCCCATGATGGTAACTGGTGGGCGATCTCCTTGTACTTATCTCAACCCACAAGCTCTTTGTTATCTCTTCTCTCCCCTGTCTGGTTGAGGAGAAGAGTGAATATTACTCCAAGTCCACTTTCCCGAGTGGTAATAGCTAATTTATGTCCAATCACTATGTATGTACAGTTCATATTATTTTTCCCACGTGTGTTACATTGCATGTATTCACACTGAGTTTCATCTGCTATTTTGTCACCAACTAGTAAAATACAGTGAGAATCCTTTTTGTCTTCACAGCCAGCTTTACTCTGAACATCTGTGCCATCTGCAGACCTTGCAACTTCACTCTCTACACTTTTGCTATGTAATGTGTAAACATCTGGTACAGCACAAGCCCTAGCATCGATTTCCATGGTAGCATCTGGTAACTAACCTCTGCTGCAAAACCTGGCCATTTATTCCTGTCTTTTATTTCCCACTTTTTAATTCCGGTGTGTGTGACAGTTTATTAGGACACCTTCTCCTCAAGAGGCTTAGCTTCTTCGAGAAACTTGTTGAAACTTTGGCAAAGTATATTACATCAAATAAATCACTCTTATTTACATGCTCGTGGATTTTTAAAAAGACCCTAATAAACTGGTAAATCAAAAATTCCATTTATAATAAACATCTCAACCTTTTCCCAGTGTGTCATACTTTGGCTTTATGTCTATTGAATGTGTTCATTATCTAAGTTTCTACTAATTTACCTTGTACAGGCAGACATGGAGATTGGTTGGAGGGGATTTTGCAGCAGAATTGGGATGACCAGTGATGTCTGAATGACTTCAGACTGCCAATAGGTATTTTCCTGGAAATAAGCATATGGGAAACTCACAATGTCTAGTTGCTTCTAATTATTTACAAGGAGGTTGACACTGAATGGACTGTTGTGGCTGCGTTGCATGCTTCCACGAAGAGGTATCTTCTCTGCCTATCATGTGTTGTCCAGCCATGGGAAGTTAGAGACATCTCTGCAAAAACGCCGTTCCTTGTTTTCAGCACATGCTGTTTGTCTCCATACCAACCCACTGAGTTTAGGAACAAAAGGAATTTCTCTTCTAACTCATGCTTGATAGCAACAGCAATATGATTCTGTTTGGGAAAGACTGTGAGGGCATATTCATAAACTGTTATCTATTTTCCCTAATGAAAACAAAACAAAAACAAAAAAAAAAAAAAAACCAACAAAACAAAAAAAAAAACAAAAAAAAACAAACACAACCCCCCCCAACATTTTCTGACACGATTACTAGCCTGCAGATGAATGCTACTGGCATTCTTCTTCTTATCCCTCTACAATCATGGCTAAGGAAACCTTTCCTTGGACAGAGAAAAAGTAACCCCTATGTCACCGTTATTGAAGCATCTGCAGCACTACAGCAGGTTTTCTCTTTAGGAATTACAGTTGAGTTCTATGCCCTGCATAACACTGAGACCAAAGGTTAGAGCTTAAGGTCACTCGACAGAGATTCGAAGACTTTCAGGACAGGCTGAACAGCCCACAGGTTGCCCTCCTGATCAACCGCTGCCAGCAGCACACAATCTGAAATGCCTGGCACACTGGCCACAAAGACGGAACACATTGTTTTTGAAATACTGCTCAGAAATTTTAAGTTGTGAAGCATTCCCTTTGTGTACACTGCATGTCTACGTGAGTGTTAAATTGGAATAGTGTACACCAACCCACCAGGTGCGAGGGGCTCTGCGTGATGGATC